ACACCAATGTCCGATTGTGAGGAACATATTTACATATTATGCTGTGCTGAGTGGTCATATTACTAACTTAAAAAACAAGCAGAAACTCGACGTTTCGAGCGAAGACCCTACACCACATTTAAGTTCTCTATACGACTGTACCATGAGAATTTAATCTATTTAAATGCTGTCGCCTTAATCTCAAAATAATTACTTGACTGCGTATCCACGAATATGATCTAATGCTAATCCATCTGTATGCCTCGTCCTCAAAATAACTACTTGACTGCGTATCCGCGTATATCCACTAGAATATAGAGCTACCTTTAACACTATGACAATTTAATGTATTAATGCTAATTCAGTGCCTCGTAGCTACCTTTACTACCATGAGATTTTAATCTATCAATCTATTTATTATTAATCTATTGAGAATAAATTATATGTATTAATACATCGTAACCATGATGTTTGAAATGCATAGCTTAAAAAGTGGACGGGTATTCTGCAATCGCTCCGGAAGATATTGCAATGTTTTTCAGAATTATGGAATAAAAAACAACGAAACTTACAAACAGTTACAAAAGTAAAGAAAAGCAAATGGGAATGGCGAATATAACTTAATAAAATATGTTAGATGTCATCACCACACAAAATATGAAGCTACAATGTGTCCTGCTCAGGTTTTGGCACGACTGTTTTGAATCAACAATTGCGTGCGCAAGACACACTGGGAAGACGCATCTAATAAGAAAAGTATCCGCTGAATATTTGTTTAAGGGCACGGGTCAATGATGCGTCCGACTATCAATGAGGAGTCCAACTGTCTACGGAAAAAAAATTTGCGACGGCGACGTCAGGACGACGGCTAAACAAACTGTTTGAGATAAATGATTGTATGAAAGCGTTGTCCTGTATTTACTTTCTTATGAATTTAAAATAGTTCTAATAAGTAAAACAGACCTTTAGTTCTCAGAGCAATGTTGATTAACTCTGCTAGAAAAACTACCCGTCACGGCTTGAAATGCTAGTGTGCTACAGAAGACGTGAAAATATGCATTTTGTCGTTGTCAACAGAGCTTGGACGACGTCCAGAAACCCTGCTATACTTTTAATTATTAATTTATTTTGTGCTATTGGATTAATGTCATTGTATTGATAGCCGTCGTCCTGACGTCGCCGTCTTACATTTGCAAACTCCCTATTGACCGACATTGGGCGACATTAAAGATAGGGTACAGTCCGGTCTGCGCATGTGCACATAAGAGTCTCCTGCCGTGATATAAACAGTTTAATTAACACCGCGGAAAAACGTCTGCGCATGCACCAAATTATGAAAATATGGCGGGGAATTTGAATATCAATTTCTAAAACAAAAACATGCTTATTAATTGGTCAAAAATTAGTAAAACAAACGAGAAAATATAGCAAATGGGTAGACTAGACATTAATTGAAAGCGTCCTGGCATTTAAAGTATGGAATGAAATATAATTCATGTAAAAAATTGTTGATTTTAACGGACATGACTCCGAAAATTTTTGCAAAATTATTCAAAACAAAAATTCAAACTCAAAAGTTAAGAAAACTCTCGAGAAGTTAAGCTTCTTAACCCACTCTAATTGTAGAATAAATTCTAAAGTTTAATTATTGTGAACACGAAAATTTTTTATATTTTTAGAATGACATGTTTATTTTTGCGCTCGAAATCTGGCTGTAAAGACGCACAATGAAGTCACTCTTTTTTACCGCCATTTTGAGCCTTCGGAAACGTTCGGAACAGCTTCTCATCAAGTTCGCAATACTATTACAGGTAAGGTTGACGCATGCGCAGACGTTTTTCCGCGGTGTTACTTTAATTAGGTTTTCAATTGATTTTATATTATTGCAAAGCTTGATTGCTGTATCTTGATCATTTATTATACTGTAAAAACATGAAAATATACATAGTTGTCGAATAAAGTTCAATATTTTGAATACCGAAATGTGAACAAAGGCTTTGTTTACATACGGACTGTACCCTACCTTTAAGCGAATGACTGTTCAAAAATTAGGTGCACATGGGCGATATTAGGCGACCTTGGCCCCCAAAGTATGCCTATATCTTGTCGCAGGGCCGTACGTAGTTCCTACAAGAGGACCTTGTGCTACATTTTTCGCAGTCGTTCCTGGCCAGGTCTTAAAGTGTATATATACTCACTTGGATTAGTAGCCCTAAAAACAGCATTCTAATATAATTTCCACCGAGTAAAGTGCAAGACACCAGATGATTGGAGTCCACCTTATCACAACCTGGACACCCGATTACCTATATATACATGAACTTACGGTTACAGCTCAACAGGTGGCCTCTGTAGCTCAGTTAGTTAAAGCGTTGCACTGGAATCGCAGGGCCGTAGGTTCAATTCCTACCAGAGAACCTTGTGCTGTATTTTTCGCAGTCGTTCCTGGTCAGGTCTTAAAGTGCATATATACTCACTTAGATTACTAACCCTAAAAACAGCATTCTTAAGCTTTATCTCTTCGTCAGGTTTTCCTTAGCTTTGACTTTCAAACGCTGGCTGAATGTGCGCATTCGAGTGATTATTTTCCCTAGCTTTCAATAGTCTTATTCAGTGATCATGCATTCAATGCATTCAATGATCATTCAGCCGTCAACTATGATGATTATTCCAAACATATTATATAGGTATTTCTAGGTTCTTTCCTCCTGTGCGTCATTTATGGTCTATTTATATTGTATTGTGTCTCGGTGTCTGCATATATGTGCTCTTAACAAATTCATTTACCCCACTAAGCTTGAAAGAAACGTGCCGCCTAGCTTTCAAACATTGTTTAACATTCAAAAGAAATTTACCACCTTTGTTTCTCTCCGCGAGAAAAGGTTTGACTTTGACTTACCAATGATTAGTTATTCTCGCTGTCTCACTGATCTGTAACGTCTGTTCGACTGTGTGTTAAACCTGCTTGCGCTGGACTATTGCGAGATTGCATTTCAAAACAAAAACAAACTATACTGCACAAGAATCACTGGGGAAAATGTGAAATCCATACTATAAAATTAAATCCATATAGTATATCCATAATATTTCGATACTATATCCATAGTATGAAAATATACAATTATTATGGATATAATCAAAATGCATTCTATTTCCAATAAAGGTCCATACAATTTTCATTCTATGATCTTCTATGGATTTTCAATTTTTTTTCTACCGAATGTCGCAAACATTGTAACAAAAAATATTTAAAAAGGCGACGCATTGCATGGAACGAATGATTTCTTCCGAAACTATTTTCAAGCTATCAAAGACACGGAAGACCGGCACCCAAGCCTTAGATTCCAAATTTATAAAGTTTCCAATCTCATTAAAACAGGTTTGGAAAACACACATGTAGTTAACACTCAAGCAGATTTAATAATCAACAATAATTAACAGACAAGATTGCTATTTGACTAAATCTATTATTGAGCGCCCCGAACTATGAATATAAAATCTTTGTAATTTTATGATAGATAAGATTTTTGTTCTAAATACGTAAAATTCATAAAAAAATATGTTGTCCAATGTATTAACATGAAACCATGCCCATGAGCAACTTTATAATATCAGCTGGTGTCTGTGAGCTAATCGTTTGTGTTTATCAAGTTCAAATCCCAATATTCACAATATTACAATTCCTGTAGATATTTAGTAATTGCTATATAGTTTTGGAAAAGTTTAATTATATTGTTCCTCGGGTGACACATTACTTCGACCAGTTATGAGAAATGCGCAGCTGTTGTTATGATATTAATAAACAGAAATGAGTAATATGTTAATTCTAAGTCATGCACTTAGCTAGTTTGAAAGAATATATATCTTTCTGAAGATATTTAGTATCAACTACTACATCGCACTTTTAGTTAGCCTGAAAATTGATCATCCCTCAACTATCATATGATCAGACGTCATGACATTAATTTCCCGCAACCGTATATATGCAGGTATGCAATCCTAAACTTGTATAGACACGTCCCCTTCTGTTGATTGAAAAGATTAAAATTACGACACTCAGTATATCCATGTTTATTTGACTAAATCTTTTATTGAACGACCTGAACTAATATAAAATCTTTGTAATTTTATGATATAGTACCGCTCAGAAATAACCTAACACTGTGTTGGCGTTCCCAACGCTGTTGGAACGCGCTCCAAAGGAAAATTGTGACGCGTTCCCCACATTGGTGAAAAACCGCGTTCTCGTTCGGAAAATCCCGACAAAGAATGAAACGTGAGCTGCTGTACGTTTTGACAGTTGACAAGTATGAACAATTATTTTAAGCTTTATTACCGGGCTGAAATACCAGTTCGGTTAGACCCAGAACTGAAACTCGACACAGTCCGGGGAGCATATGATCACAAATAATTTTAAAATCGTTTTAATGGTTTTGTTTTGCGTGTTTGTTTCCACAACTGTATATGTGACCACAATCTCACACAAGTCAAATAGCCGAAAATGCTTCAAATCGCAATCGTATCATTTCAACCCGAGCTAGAAAGGTCTGTCCTGTGAACAGGCTACATTTCAGTCGGCCGTTTAAACAACATGGGATGAAAATTGTTCTGATTAAAACTCAGCCGGCTCAAACTCCGCACGGGCACATATAAATCGCTATCAACCGGACTGAAACAAGCCTATCATGTAGCATACTTCCTTCAGTTTATTTTAAAAAATTGTCGCCGCTTGTGTTATTTTTTAGGAAAAGTAAGTCATTACACATGATTATAAGTATTTACAATTAGTCAAAATACTAGTGCATGACTGTGACATTTTTGACTACCCAACCTCTCCAGTCGAATCTATATTCGTCTTAACTTATGAGGATGTTTTACTTACTGTGGCACGCGAATACACGCACATCAGCGCCCAATAGCTAATAAACAATCGCTCGCGCACAATTGTGGCATGAGTTAATATTGAAATTATCTGTATTTCTGGTCTACAACATGGCTAATAAACTGGACGATCGTCTTACCTCAATTGTGTTTTTCCGGTATTAGTTTGTCCATTTAAAACTTTTTCCTGTGATCACAGAAACTTTGAGTGTGTCAACCAGGCTTAATAGTCTGATGATGATTTTATAAAATCCAAACACTGTGTCTGTGATATTTTGATATTGCAATTTTGATAGGCAGATGCTCTGAGCGACTTGCAACCGGCGCGAACAAATAGCAAGTTAAAATTCACAAAAGATTTGTAAACAAAGCCTCTGAGTGGACTATAAGAAAGATGGAAGCACCAATCTAGTTGCCTAAACTGCTTGATTGGCTTCCCTAGTTTCTTATAGTCCAATCAGATGCTTTTTTTACAAAACTTTTATGAATTTCAACAGTGCAATTTATTCGCGTCGGTTGCAAATTGCTCAGAGCAATCTTCCTATCAAAATTGCAACATTGTGGGACAAAATTGCAATTTTGCTTCCAAGGGGGGGGGGGGGGGAATCGGTTTTCGGATCGTCAGATTTCACAGAAAAAATTGTTCGGATTTTGGATCTGGCGAATATTTTACACGGATTTGCGGATCTTATTAATACAGCGAATTGCGGATTTATCTAATATTTTGGCTCGTGGATTTAACTTGCAATTTAGTTCGGATCCTGGATTGTGATGTCATAGTAGAGCTTTTAGCGGATTTAAGACATTTGATAAGACCATTGTCAACCTCGGCCCCAGGGTCTTCCTCGTGGTGGCGATCGAGCTGAGGAAGACCCTGGTGAAATGCGATGAAATCTCCAAGATTCTTGGAGATTTATCGCATGGGCAGTAACGACAACGTTATGTTGCTGACTACAATTAGCGCTGACGCTTACGATTTTCTTGCTTAAAAATATACATGTTTTGTTGATTGTTTATGTATTTATTCTCAAAGTTTTAACAAATTTTATTAAAAATACTTCAGATATAAGCTATGAACACACATGTACACACAACTATGCAACATTAATCATCATATTGTATCAATTTGTCGGCGTATGGCGCTCATATTTGTGACATCGTTTTGATCGCTTTGGCAACCCTCATATATATCAGATGCTGTTCGGCTTCAAATGCAACTGAATAAACACTGATAGTGTTGCCTGGAATATGAAATGATGTTGATTGATTGTACTGTATATCAAGGTACGTACAGTACATATATACTGGATTTTTTTTCACACAAGTTTCAAACTATTTCAGCCTAAATGAACAGTGAGATCACATCATTAACATACAGTCATACAAAAAGACTCCATATTTTCTCATCAATTCTGATTATCGTTACAAGTAACAGTAGAAATGCTTCAAAATTTATTCTGTTTTCTATGTAAAGCAGGGCAGCATGCTTTCATTTTGCTTTGGTGGTAGTCACCACTCACCAAGTTAAATGGGCTATTCCATGTAATAGCCTCCTATTGAGGTCTGGATATCCTATGGGGGTTTTAGAAAGGGGGTTTTTACCTTAAGGGTAGCTTAAGAGACTTCCTAAAAATTAGGTGTTTTAGTGATATCCAAAGGGGTAGGAACAATATCCTAAAGGGATAGAAAGATATCCAAGGGGTTCCAAAATTGCATCCAATGGGGTTCCAAAATTTTTAAGGTATTATGAAGAAACCCCTCAATAGGGTGTTAGTCCGTATGTTGTGACCTCGAAAAGTGCCTAGAAAACGATTTTCATTAAGCATGTCTTAGATCTGAAATACTTTTACGGGAACTAACACTTTCGAACACACTGAGTTCAAATCCGAAAAGTTCCCACTCCGTAGACCCGCAGTTTTTTCACAAAATGCTATTTTATCTTCACTAATTTCACAGCAAAATTTTTCATTGTTCAACGTCACGGATCGATGACGATACACGATTATGTCACTCAAAAGGACCAATTTCTATTAACCATTCTTACTTTTAACAAAAGACCGGTTTTGCTTGAATCATTTTGAGTTATGTAATCTTATGCGTGTTGGACGTAAACAACATATCTTGTCTACAACTTTGAGAAGGTGCAGATAATTCCTCCTAATATCCTTAGTTCTGGAACAATCTCTATAAAAATCACAAGGACGTTAATGTCAAGTCTTTGGGCTATGTATCTGGGCTGAGAAATAATTCCTTACATGCGATCAAGATGTTTCATACAAAGATATAAAACGGTAATCTATATGTAATGGATCAGCATTGAAATTTCCAACACGGTTTCCAAGACGTAATTCAAGAGATAACTTATCATAATTGCATTTGAACTATTACATGAGTTTGTGTTATACTGTGCGATAAGCGAGTATTATTGGAAAGAGGGCTTCTATATACGTCGAAATCATCAAATAAACAGCTCATGCATGCACACATTTCTCCACTTCGCGGTAAGTTTACAGAGCATATTTTATACTTTGTGACTGGTCTTTGTCTTTGATGTGAACATCTATTCTTATAGTTTAAGGTTATTTAAGATTGATCCTATCGTAAGTCTTCTACCTGCAACCATTCGATAATATTTCATTTTAGCGTTGTCTTTGCCGTTACGTTGGCTTTGCATTACTTTTGTTTTAAATATCTTGATCGCGTTAAAAGAGTTATTTTTCAGGCCAGTGACATAGCTAAAACACTTGACATTAATGTCCTTGTGATTTTATAAAGATGTCTTTAGAACTGAGGATTTTAGAAAGCGTTATCTGTACCTTCTCAAAGTTGTAGACAAGATATGTTGTTTACGTCCAACACGCATAAGATTGCATAACTCAAAATGATTCGAGCAAAACCGATCTTTTGTTAAAAGGAAGAATGGTTAATAGAAATTGGTCCTTTTGAGTGACATAATCGTGTATCGTCATCAATCCGTATCGTTGAACAATGAAA